AAATCCTGAATGTGGACACTAGAACCATGTGAATTGCATTGGCCAGAATACTCCCACACTAGCAAAATGGATCATAATAGTGCTTTTTACTAACTTCTGCAAAGTGACAGAGGAAACTTGGCCAAGGACACAGTCCTGCTGGAAAATGCTCTTTGGAGACTTGCATATAACAGACGATCTGGGGTAGACGGGGTGTGTTAAAACTGCTCCAAACAGGAGTCACCATTTTTGAAGCCAGCGTTTCAATTATCTTAGACATTAGATTAAGAGTAGTGTAATAGTCTTTGTCTTGTAACAAAGGCCCTGTCAAAGCTGCCATGCATTATGTATCCTCCTGCTTAACACACAGTAATTGCAGAAGGCACCTCCATATCTCATCCAGCACAGAAGTGAGGTGTCAGTGTGTGACGTGGCCGCAATAATTTCACAGCCCCCAAGTCAGTCTCCTAAAACCACGCCGGTAGATTGAAGAGATAGAACGCAACAGCGGTTGACCGGCATCCTCGTCCTATTCTGCCGCTTACCATGCACCATTAAACAGGCTAAGTTCTGGAAACTGCCTTGCCCCGCTGATAATTTTGAGGCTGCACAGAATTCCCGATCGCAAAACGCTACACTCCTGTGCTATGAAAACGGCTCCTCTCCAGTTTCCAGGGAGGGTTGGGAAAGATGTGGGGCAAAGCCAACCGGTAAAGCTGTAACTTGCCAGCCTCTCTGCCTCTTCCTGACTTCCCAGGAAATCCAACGCAGACTGGAGATCCACTCACACTGGGGGGACTATTTTGTTATGAGTCCACGGATCTTTTTTTTTTTTTTAAAGCGACCCCACCTAAACGAGGAGAACCACCAGGAATGATGGTCTGGAAGCCAGAAGCCGCTGCTGCTAATCCTGGCACACAACAGATGGAAGTATCTTTTTTCCTCCACAGTGGGAGGTATCAGCATTCTCACTGCCTTGTCCGTTTGGGCACCAGCAACCTCCCCACCCTCTTCTCCAGCCTCCGCCTCAATTGGTAGGATAAGCAGCCTTTCTTACGGCAGCAGCCCCCCCCTTCCCAGTTTCTTTCCCCAGCCCCTCACCCCCCCCCTTTCAAAGCACGGGGGCTCCGATGCCTTTCTGACCTTGCCACGTGATGGAGACCTCGCTTTGATGGGGCCGGAGGCAGAGGTGACCCATAAGGTTAAGGCACATCTCCCCCATGGAGAGCTGGCAGGAAAGGGGTGGCTTGGGAGGGGAGGGGGGGCCCAAAGCTTCTTGTGCTGTCCAGCTTCACCGAGGAGACTGAGAATGCTTACTCAGAGGCACTGCCCAGAATCGGGGAAAGGAGGGGGGGGGAGAAGAGAAGGAGAGAGAGCTGAGATCGCCTCTACAGAGAGAGGGAAGAACGCACAACCAGGGGTCCTGGCCAAGAAACGAAGCATCCCATGTGCCCACCACCCCCACCTGATCTCCATGTTCTGTGGATCATGGACCGCTGCGTGGGCAACCACCGCTTCTCGCGAAAGGCTCTCTACAAAGATTTCCCCCAGTGGCTGGAGAAAAACAAGACCCACCTGCTCCCTTTTCCCACTGCCAAGGTTTCTGCTCCGCACCTGAGCAGCCTTGCTGCACAGGTGAGAGAGGGGCTGCTTAGAATATGGCCTGGAAGCCCCCCAGAAACAGGCAGAGAGGGAGGGAGAGAGACGGTGGCTCTTCTCTGGAACCTCATGGAACACGGACGCCTGTCACGGCCGAGCGACCCCCTTCCCTTCTCCCCCCCCGGGGGTCGGCTGGAGAGATGCTCCCCTACGAAGGAGTTAAGGGAGGCAAAGAGGAAGGGGATGTGCAAGAAGGAAGGGAAACCCCCACCCCTCTCCTTTGTGCTGCTCCCCCAACACAGGTTGCTTGGCCAAGCCAGCCCTCTCCCTTACTCACCCAGCCGGCGGTTCGGCCGCCTCGGAGAGAGAAGGCAGCATTTTGCAAAAGAAGAAAAGGGAAAAAGAAGCCACACACACAAACACACGAGAGTTACTTCAGCCTTCAGACCGGCTGCTCTGTCTGTTCCTTCCTCCACCTCGGTCTATTTCTGTCTTCAGCCGCTGCCTGCCCGCCCCCCCCCCTCCACCCATCACCACTGAACTTGCCTTCGCTTGCAGAGAAAACTGGGCAAGAGGGGAAGCGATTTAATCTCCCGATTGAGGACCGCAGGCAGCTCAAGCGAATCTCCACCCAGGAGAAGAGAGGAGGAAGAGCGGCTGCCGTGGCCTCGCCTCGCCCCCCCCTCCGGCAAGCCGCTTGGGGCAGCAATCTGATCAGGACCATGGACAGCCGCCAGATGGGTCTCCCAAAAAAAATAAATAAATAACTGGTTTAAGGAGGAGAGGGAAACCTTTGGGGCAGTCATGTGTTCCAAGCAGCCCCACCCACCCCATGTCTCCTGCCCAATTCTTGAAACATCATCTTCCTTTAGGGAGGATGGCAGAGCGAGACACTGCTTTGGCGATGGGGGCTATGGTTTCCTTTCTCGTCTCCCCCCCCCCAAGTCCACCCACTGGGTGAATTCATCCACCATTAGACCCTCATCGTCTTTTCCCTGCGGACTTCCAGGGCGAGATGTCTTCAGATACCCATCCAAAATGAGGTCCACCTCACATCCTGGCTTTGACCGAATCACAGAATTGTGAAGTTGGAAGGCCATCAAGTCCATCCCCCTTTGACTCAAGGTAGGGACACAAATCACAGGATATCTGCTCGGTGGCTGTCTTAAAGTTTCTCTTGAAGGCCTGCAGTGTTGAATGCCCTCTAATTTTCTAGACCATCATCCTTTGGTAAGACTGTTTAAATTCACTACCTCTACTCTAAACATCCACTTGTATTAAAGAAACCCTTTGTGTAAGAGCTGACAACGGCCACTTTAATCACACCCCAATGTCTTTAAAGGAAGAGCTGCAGAAACGCCCTGGAATGGTGGCTCTGGAAGAGACAGACGCGTTAGTCTGCGCTAACCTATCATGCAAAAACAAAAGAAAACTAAAAAAAATTAAAATGTTGTGGCACCTGGCTGCTCTATTTTAACATGAGCCTTTGTGGATCAAGTCTGAGGAAGTGGACTCGTCCATGAAAACTCACATTAATATACAGCTGTTGGTCTTTAAGGTACACAATCTTTTGGGTCTTCTTAATTTTTTATTTTTATTTCATTTTTGCCAGGTGCAAAAGCCCATTCCTGGCATATCAGGAGAGTGTTAAAATTAATCAGCTATATAAAACAAAGGCAGTAAGTAACCCCCGGGCTGGTTAAGGAGATGTCCATACCTCATTCCGCAATGAAACAACAAAGATGATGACAAAAATAGAACTGTGTCTTTTTCTTTTTCCTTTGGTCTAATGAGACCTCCCTTGAAATGATGATTTTTATAGGCTCATTTCTCAACTGGTCCATTACCTTGGTTTCATGCCCTGACAGGTAATTTAAACCTTATTTTGATAAATCCAATTATACTGCGCTTATTTCTGGTTAAATCTTCTGTTTATAAAGCCCGATGCAATGTGTTTCAGCCATTTCCCCCTTTTATCGTGCTGATTCTCCTTAATAAAAACACGGCTGCAAATAAACAATTAAAAATGGACAGAAAGAGTAATGACAATATTGTTCCCCAATTTCCCACCCTACTGCCAGCACCACAGCAGTCAATCTTGGGAAATTCTTATATGCAAGACAACTGCTGCTGGAAAAAAAAATCACAGCCAGTGTATTAATCTGCCCTCTGTATAAGCCGCAAGGACATTATGCACTTGACAATAGTATCAGGAATAATGGAAACATCTAGCATATTAGAATATACAGTAGGATGCCCAAATCAGCTGAAGATTGCTCCCAAGCCCCTCTGGATATTGAAAACAGTGGATAATAGCTATAAAGAGAGAGAGCATGGTCAAAGGGAAAAAGCTAGAAAAAAAGTATTTTACATGCATTACTAGAACTGGCCAGTAGAGAGAGCTCGAGACCATGCTATGTACACTAGCAGGTATACATAGAATAGTCTCTTGCTACCTCTAGTGGCCAATTCTGGTAATACATGTGAAAATAGATTTTTTTTTCTTTCAATATTTTTTATGTATTCAGAAAGTGGATAGGTAAATCATGGATCCTGTGGATAAGGAAGGGTGAAAAACTAATTCTGAAAGCCCTTCTCTCAAGCATGGACATCTCTTTAACATTCATTTTTCAAAAAACAGGTTTTAATTTGTAATGGTGCTTTTTCAGTCTCAGAATGCCCTGCGCCCCAGTGACAGAAAACTGACACCCCCAATGGCTATGATGTGCCCAACCCAATCTACAGTAGCGTGTCAGCCATTATTGGAACATCTACTGCTTCCTCATCCATCCTTCCTGTGTCATGAAATATTATAAAATCTATGTCCCCAAATAAAACTCAAGCCTTCAGTTGAATTCAACATCCATTGTTTGTATTATATTGGAAGCCGCTCAGAGTGGTCGCATAGACCAGATGGGCGGGATACAAATCAAATCAAATGAAATCAAATCAATCAATCAATCAATCAAATCCAGAAGTCCTCTCTCGCTGCCCTGCCCTGAACGTAAAGGCAGTCACACACCCTTTAAATTTATTACTAAGGTACGCAGAAGATTTAGACTTTACGGTCACTTGCTAAATTTGCTAACCCTTTGCTGAAGGTGAAACAGCGCAATAATGGAAAACAACAATGACTCTTAATTTTGTAGTGGCAACTTTGGAGTTTCCGAAGTCACTAAAACAAACTTCAGAGGGTCGAAAACACTGCAGTCAGATTGCTAAACGGGGCTGGTTTCTGGGATGGCTTCACCCCTATGACGGCAGCTCTACCGGGTGCCCAAACCATTTCTGGGCACAATTCAAAGTACTGGTTCTAACTTATTAACCCCTAAATGGCTTGGGCCCAAGTTGTCTCAAGGACTGTGTCTCCCTTTATAGACTTGTCTAGGTGGCACATTCAGCAGGAGAGGTCTTTCTCAAAAGTCCCATCACCATCCTAGATGCTTTTGATGGGGACACAAGAATTGCTGCTCCCAGAGACTCTGGAACTCCTAACCCCTAAATGGCTTGGGCCCAAGTTGTCTCAAGGACTGTGTCTCCCTTTATAAACTTGTCTAGGTAGCACGTTCATCAGGAGAGGTCTTTCTCAAAGTCCCACCACCATCCTAGGTGCTTTTGATGGGGACACAAGATTTGCTGCTCCCAGAGACTCTGGAACTCCCTCCCACTGGAGGCCAGCCTGGCCCCAACTTTGCTCGCCTTCTCTTCAGGCAGGCTTTCTTCTGAGTGATTCACTATCTGAGAGAGGTTTTAAAACGAGACGGTTTTTATTTTTGTTGCTTTCAAAACTGTTTTAGTGGTGCTTTTACCTAACATTTGCAATATAACTTCGCGATTTCTTCTTTAATATTTAAATAATTCACTATTTTAAGTTTCTAATAATGCATTTTCAGTGGCGTAAGCCACCTTGGGTCCTTTTTTAGAAGAAAGGTGGGGCATAAATATGATTTAAAAAAAATAAGCACAGTCAAGGCTTGCAACATTTTGCTTAGCAATTATCAAACTTGTGTATGCTGGGGGAAAAAGAGGAAAAAAAGTCCTGGGGTGCTTGTTTTTGGCTAAGCGATGGATGTCATTAAAAATATGACTTTGGTATTTATTTTTCTGCTGTCTTAGCTCTTTCGAGAGTATAGGAAAAAAATGACTAGTGCAATCCAGATAAGCCAAGAGATGCAAGACTCAATTTTCCTGTGCTTTAAAAAAATCTGTTCTGCTTCTAACACAGCAGAAGCCCTTCTGGAACGCAAAGAAACCGTGGGAGGTAGAAGGGACTGCTGCCGCCGTGCAACCCCCCAGGGATTCGTCTGCAAGATATGTTCGTTAACATCCTCCCCTCTGACATCTCTTAGCAGGACGCTTGTGTTTTCTCCATCGCTGTTCGTAATAACCTCTTAATCAAGGGACAACAATGCATGGAACATTCACTGAAGCTGCTGTGTCGTAATACATCCAGCCGTGCTCCCAAAATAAAAAGAAAAGGCCCTTCTGATGGGCTCCGAGGCCGGAGAGAGAGAAATGGAAGGGATTCCGACCGGCCCGGAGGTGCCACCTGGAGCTGCAACCTGTCAGCGACATATTTCAAAATAATTACCACTGATCTCTGGTGGGATCACGGCAGAAGTAGGACAAGCCACGAAGGGGAAGAACAGAGTGAGAACATGGGCGGTTTTGGAGAGGATGAGCCGAGGAGAGGGCAGGAAGGTGCAAGGCAAAGGAGATGGAACAAGGGGGAGGCGAGCGCCGTGGATGAGGGCGGGATGGGACCGCGGGACCTGCTGGGGGAAGCTGGGGTTAAAGAATCGAGTCCCCGCTTTGCTTGAACCTTGAGCATGGCTGCCTCTTGGAGCACATCATCCTAGTTCAAGTAGTGGGATAAGAGAACATTCAACAATGGAGTGAGAGCTCATCAGTGGAGCATGGGGTCCCAGGTTCAATACCCGCATTTGCAGGAAGAACCAGGAAAGGCCCTAATGGGGAAAATCAAAGAATCCCTGCCAGTCCGTGTAAGCTAGGAGTCGGCAACGTGCCTCCTTGACTCACCTACCCACCCTGTGTTTTTAAAAGAAGACACAGACGGTCCCTATGCATTCTCTGCGGACGTGGATGCAATTCTGCCATCTTTGGAGGATTCCAAACCCACCACCACCCCTCAAAAAACTTCAGGTATTGGATGGCCCAAGAAAGCTCCTTCGGTAACAATAACAACCATTAAAATAATAATAAAGGAGGTGGGTGTTGCAGGAGGAGAGGACCACGAGCAGGGCATGGACCTCCAGAGGTCACTCACCCTAATGTGGACAGTACAGTGGACCCTCGACTTACAGACGGCTTGACTTACAGACTTTTTGAGTTACAGACTTCTCTGGCCGCAAAATTTAGGTTTGACTTGCAGCCTGAGATTTGACTTACAGACCAGAAAAAAACCAAAATGGAACAAAAACGGCCTGTTACGGGATTAATCGGTT